TTTTTTGTAAGAAACATACATTTTAGGTAGAAATAGTTTCAGTTTTAGGGTTTCCCCCTCTTTTTTTTTTTTTTTTTTTTTTTCTGTCACTATCTCTACATTCTTTTGTAGCTACTCTGCTGCTAATCAGGTGTCAGTTTAGGAGTTTACATCCTAAAATATATTTATACATTGATCTGAAAAAGGCGCTTTTATCCAGAGGAATAAAAATTGGGGAGAACAGTCTCTGACACCTCGTGGGTCAGCATCTCAGTCAGAAGAACAGACAAGAATGAACAACAGAAGAATGAACAACTGAGAGATTCAATACTGAAAATATCAAAACAACCCTTTCTTTCAAAAAACCCCCAGTATCCCCTGTCTGCTGATGGTCATGTACGGATGGGTAGGGAAAGAGCAGAAGGTTAGATCACACAGATGGTGCCTTTTCAAACTTTAAGCAACCTGTTTCAAGGACTTCATGAGCCAGACAGACACTGCATCCCCGTGTTTGTGTTTATTAGCGTTGTTTGGGGTTTTTTCTATCTGTATATTTTTGTCATCCCACTTACGCTTTTGGCTTCCATGTTGTGGCAATGAGTCTCACAGTTGTAATGCTGGTTTGTGTGATGTAGTCCAGCCTTCCCGTTGATTTATGGTAAATCTGCTGCCTGATCTCATAATGTCACGGATTTCATTAACAGGAATACCCTGTTACATTAAGAAAAAACTTACTTTTAAAGAGAGAGCAAATCATGACACAAGACTACCCCTCTAACCAAGGCTTTAATTATTGACTGCAGGGGAGTGTTCCTTGTTACCTGTAGTAGATTCAATATTTCTTTGTTTGATCTCTGGTGTAACAGCCTCTGGGGACAGGTTAGTAGGTGTCATCCTGGCCACCACTGCCGTGTACTTGAGGTGAATAAATTGAATTCCTGGGTATTTCAAAATAAGTTGCTGATTACTCAGAACGAAACACTTTGCCCATCGGATGCACAACGTAACACACACACTCTTTCCTCTAAATGCTAATGGGTGGCTTTCAAGGTGTGTATTCCAGGACCAAGACCTACCAGTCTAGAGCTCAGTGGTAGAACTTTTTTTGACTGCTGAAACCAGCCTTCTGTCCCCAAACTCATACATAATAACGGGCAAACGCCACATTATCTCACTTTGGAGGTGAAAGTTCAGCTTCAGCTTGCTGGCCCTCACTCTTAGTTAAGATGTTTACCTACTGGAACGACCACAGAACAGGTTGGTTTCTGAGGCCCAGAATATTAACCAATCTCTCACTAATCCGTAGGTATAATGAGACCAAAATGAGAGACTTTCTGTCAAAATCACAGAAGGTTCTTTAACTAAAAATAGGAAACGGTTCCCGCTTGTTGGGCTTTGTGTTCCAGCTGCGTTCGCGTAAAGCCAAGTTTTGCAGTGAGCATTGAATCATCCTAATCTTTACTCCTCTGTTTGTCTTCTTCTAGGAGAAGCTCTGCCTTCCACACCACATCCTAGAAGAAAAGGGCTTGGTAAAAGTGAGCATAACAGTTCAAGCGTTGCTAGACGTAACCACAGTGAAACAAGCTTTATTCACATGAACCTACTCTCTCTCGGCTGTTACCAGCTCCACTGTGCCATCCAGGAATCAAAATACTGCCCGTCTTTTCAAACTGCTTTGGAAAAAAACACACCAAAATCAAAAACAAACAACAAAAAAAAAATACTTCTGATTTTCAGAACGACGAAGCGGAAACTCCAGAGAAACTTTTTCTAGAGCGAACCGGCGCTTCACTGCTTTTATAGCTCACTTTGTACAGTAATTAACAAAAACAGCCACCTCTCTGCCACTTAAAACCGTGTGGAGTACCCAGCTGTCTTGCAGCAAGATACCTTCCTATTATTAAACTAAGAATCATTGTAATCTTTTTTTTTTTTTGGGGGGGGGGGGGGGGGAGGAGGGAGAGTAAATCAGATTTCCGTCACGTTAGGTTTTTCTGCAGTTGCTTCAGGCTATTGCCTTTTAAAAAATATCCAGACATAAAATATTTATATAAATATTATTTATTAGTGAGTTGTTATTCATCCTTTGGATGCAAACTGTAAATTAGGAAACTGTATTTTATTACTGCTTTTTTGTGGTTAAACACTTTATTTTAATATAAATATTTAGTTATTTTTTATTCTCCTTGGTGTGCAGTAGGTCTAGATCTCCGTAAATTGTATTTTCTAAGATGTAAGATAAAAAGCAAACAAAATAGGTGCTTTTATTAAAAGAACAGCTAGCTGGAATGGCATTCTTTATTTCTTGAATTTGTGGAACATTGGTAAACAACATTTATCTGCATTCCATTGAGTTTCCAACATTCCAGTAGCACTTTCTGCTCCCCCCTCCATAGACTAAATTGGCTGAAACTGAGAGCACACCCATTTTATTTGTATATAGATGTTTAAAAAAAAAAAAAAAAAGAAAAAAAAGGAAAGACATAAACTTGAAAAATAAATGTGAACACATATTTTTGATTGCTTATTTTACTATGCACAAGACATTTAACTTTTGCCACAACGAAACGAATGATGCGCGTTAGGAATCATGTGTCTTGAAAGATAATTTTGCACTGTAACTTGATTTCTTCTGAAGACTACAGCACTACAGAACAAATAATAAATTTAAAAAAAAAAATAGCACAAGGCCATCAGCGAGCATTTACCAGGTAGCCAAAAAAAAATTTTTTTTGATTTTTTTTCTTCAACGATTCCTTGCAGAGGAGATAGAAGTTATTAAAATCACCAAAGGTGGTCTTGAAGACCCCATCCTCCCGAGAGCCGCCCTCGCTTTCCTACGCAATGAAGCACAATGTTCTGTAGCCAACGTTTGGGGGTCAGACCTCTCATCCCACCTCAGCAATATAGGAAATAAGCTGCTTTTTTCTTATCACTACTTTGCTTTTTTAAAGAATTTTGGGATTTTTTTGGTTTGTTTTTTTTTTTTTTTTTTTTTTTTTTCTAAAAGCGTAATTTATTATTAAAACATCACACGTTTTAGATCCAGAAGTTCCACCTGGGGCCGTCCCATTTTTTTCTTTGCCAGGAGAAGGCGGTGGTGGGCCTGGGGCAAGAGGCAGAGGAGAAGCCGCATGTGGTGCAAGGGCTGCTGGGAGGGGTGCGCGCAGGCAGGGAGTTGGAAATGCACAACGACGCAAAAAAATAAGAAATAAGAGGCAGAGTGTGGTGGGAGGATGAAATATTTGAGGCGAGAGAAGGTGGAGAGGACTGTTGGGTAAGGATTTGGGGGAAGAATGACGCAGACTCGTCACTGCTGGGTATCCAGGGGAAGTTACACGCACATTCAGGCAGGCGCTGCGTTTGAGCCCACCGCTGTTCCAATAACCAATTACCAATTTAGTGGCAAATACACTATTTGACTGCAAACTATGCCTTTTAATACCACCAACTGCCCCTGTGCTGGTAGGAGCAGGCGAGCGAGGCGAGGTCTCAGACCCAGAGTATGCAGGGAACAGCCAGTTCCTTCAACCAAAGCCAAAAGCGTTTTATTTTCTAGAGGGGAACGTCGACTTCAAATGGTAATTTTGATTGGCAGCTAGCGTATTGTTTCCTAGAAAATGTATACTGTGCACTTTAACACTAAATTAAAATGTATTTTAATATTTTACAGAGCTGCACAAATATCTGTTTTGTCAAAAAAAAAAAAAAAAGCACGAGCAATGTAAAGAAAATACGTTTTCGAGTCAGAGTTTATCAAATTTTAAAAGCATTCAAAGATCGAGTATAAAAATAGGAATATTGATTTCTGCATCTTGAGGGATAAAATGCAGGTTTCCTGAGTATTTTTTTACAATGTATATATGGCAACATGAAGCTTTGTAATTATTATTTTGACAAATCTTGTTTTTTCATAATTAAACTTTTGGTTTTCTCCTGATAGCGTCTCTTCAGTATTTGCTTGACGTTGGCTGTAAATAAATAGCTCTAAATATTTTGTAATACGGCTTTTTTTTTTTTTTTTAAATGCAGTCTTAACCTGTACACCTAAAAAGAAGAATCTTCATGAATCTTTGTATACTATTTATATGTGCAATAAAACATGCATGGCAAATCTATACTACCCTCAGCAGTGAACATAATGTATATAGAAAATCTTTACTGTAGTTACAATTAAACTCTATTATTTGTAGTAAACCCTTTATTGACTACCCCTTTCTGCCTGACGGGTTCCTGTAGAAGAGATGGTGTTGGAAGAGCTTAACGCTGGGGAGGGTGGGTGAGGGTTTGGGGTTGGAGAAGATGATGATGGTGAGACAAATACAGGAATTTTTCACTGAATTTCACTGAATTTTAGAGTTGGAAGGGACCACAGAGATCATCTAGTCCAACTCCCCTGCTGAAGCAGGACCACCCAGAGCTTGTCAGAGCATGTTACTCAGGACTGCATCCAGGCGGGTCTTGAAAATCTCCAGAGAAGGGGACTCCACACCCTCCCTGGGCAGCCTGTTCCAGGGCTCTGTCACCCTCACTGTGAAGAAGTTTCTCCTCATATTTGAGTGGAACCTCTTATGTTCCAACTTGTGCCCGTTGCCCCTCGTCCTCTCACTGGGAACCACTGAATTTTGCAGCTAAACACGGGCTGGGATCCAGCCGGGAACTGTTGGGTTCCCTGGTTTGGAGTCAGTTCCTGCAAAGGAGCTTCCTGCAGCTCTGCTGCTCCTGGAGATGAAGGTCTCCTGCCGGTCACATAGTGCCTTCTGCTTCCATGGTGGGGTGACCCCATGGGCTCAGCTCCAGGAGAAGGGAGGCTCCACCTTCGCTTTGCTCCTACGATTCATTCTCCTTATTTCTTCCCGCTCCTGCAGGCTTTTCGTTTAGCAGACAAGTTCTGATGATGTCTTTATTCCAGTGACTCCGGGTGACAACGCAGCCACAGCTTCTGGCCTGGGGACAGGCCATTGTGGCCGGGCTGTGCCAAGCTCCTCTGCCCTTCTCCTCTCCCTGCTGAAACGGGTAGCAGGGACTTCTCCTAGGTCACAGCAGAGTGCCTTCTCTTCATCATGCAGGTTCTGAAGTCACATGAGCACAGATTTTCTCACTTCTCTTTTCCTTAACCAGGGGATTTTGTGGCTGTATTTGTTCACTTTTAGTAGTGGATTTTGGAAGGAGAGGATCTTTCTACAGTGATCTCCTGGGGAGATCCTGCTTTTGAGCGCCGAGGAATCAAAAGCCTTTGTGGCTGTTGGATATAAAGTTGGGACAGACTAATGGCTGCGTTAGAATTGGCATAATTTAGGCAGGCAGAGTCCTGCAGTGGTCCTCTGGTGCTGCTCCTCACTGAGAGCAGAGCCTGGTTCACAGAGTCACAGAATGATATGGGGTTGGAAGGGACCTTGGAGATCATCTAGTCCAACCCCCCTGCCAGAGCAGGTCCACCTAGAGCAGACAGGACAGGAACGTGTTTTGAATGTCTCCAGAGATGGAGACCTGGTTAACAGCAGGCAGCCAAGGGCCACGTCCAGCCCAGGTTTGAGCATGGCCAACAACAGAGATCTGACAGCCCCTCACAATTCTCATCTAGATGGTGCAGAGACAATTGGTGCTTGTAGCCATCTGCACAACTGATTCAAGCGCCCCAAATCTTCAAACTGGAAGAGGGGAGATTCAGATTAGACATCAGGAAGACATTCCTTACTGTGAGGGTGGTGAGACACTGGAACAGGTTGCCCAGAGAAGCTGTGGATGCTCCATCTCTGGAAGTGTTCAAGGCCAGGCTGGATGGGGCTTTGGGCAACCTGCTCTAGTGGGAGGTGTCCCTGCCCATGGCAGGGGGGTTGGAACTCGATCATCTTTAAGGTCCCTTCCAAACCAAGCCACGCCATGAGTCTGTGGTTCTCATGGGTTTGCATTGTCTGGGACTTGCAGCCTGTGGACAAGGGCAGCTTGAGGAACCCTGCCTCGTCAGCCCTCTAGCACCAGTTCTGTAAGAGCTCAGGGCAGTTTCTACAAAGCCTTGAGGTTACCGGCTTCCCAAGCAAGTTCTGGTGGACTCACCAGAGCCAGTTGGACACTTACCTGAATCTGCTCCTGCTCCCAAGCAAGGCACCTGGAAGTCCCTCTCTCAGAGCAAGGCAGCAGTGCATGTAAATGCTCTATTGACAAGGCAAATGGTGTGGGACAGCTGTCAATTCTTAGGAGCATCGCGCAGAAATTGTAGCTGTTTGGGGAAGCTGATAGGGTAATTCATCTCCTGCTGGACTCTAAGTCAAGGATCTAGGAAATAAGGCTCCGCACAACTACCCAAAGCATAATGGGAAACAGAATTATGCCGTATAAATTTATTAAGTATGAGAGAGAGGGGGCTTTGTCCCTCCACGCAGGGCAAGCTGTTTCAGACCATTAACCCAGCAGCTTTAAATAGTAAATTACAGGGTTAAACCTGCTTTTTAATCTCCTGTAGTATAACATGCAGGGAATGGAAAAAAAAATAATAAAATGGCATGTAACTTTCCCTTAAATACAATTATCAGACTGCATTAGGCAAAAAATAGCAGCTTTGACAGATAACACTGCTGCTCCAGTCCAGTGTCCAATACGGCCCAGTAATCAATTAGCTGGCTGTGGCAGAGCAGGTGCCTGGTTGCTGGGGGAGGAGGGAACAACTAGAAGCTGCCACGTATTATACAAGCCTTCCAGCCAACGTTGCTGTTTGGTGAACAGAAAAAAATCTAAAGCTTTTGGCATTTGTGGCTTAAAATTTTTATGCTGTCGGTGCCCTGCTTTGTAAGAAAGGAGGAGTTGGTGTCTGCTGTAAATCCAGAGCGTGGAAAACTCAGCGTTCAGCATTTCAAAGAAAGAACTCTTGTAATGCACACAGTTGCAGATGCAAGACTGATAAAAGTCACAGAATCACAGAATCTTCTAGGTTGGAAGGGACCTCAAAGATCATCTTGTCCAACCGTCAACCTAACTGACAAAAATAGACACCCACACAACAAACAAGGAGCATCATCACTAAACCATACCTCCCAGCACCACATCAACCTGTCTTTTGAACACCTCCAGGGATGGTGCCTCAACCACCTCCCTGGGCAGCCCATTCCAATGTCTGATAACCTTTTCAGTGAAAAATTTTTTCCTAATATCCAGCCTGAACCTCCCCTGGCACAACTTGAGGCCATTTCCTCTTGTCCTGTCGCCTGTGACTTGAGAGAAGAGACCGACCCCCATCTCTCTACACCCTCCTTTCAGGTAGTTGTAGAGAGCAATAAGGTCTCCCCTCAGCCTCCTCTTCTCCAGGCTGAACAACCCCAGCTCCCTCAGCCTCTCCTCATAAGACTTATTCTCCAGACCCCTCACGAGCTTTGTTGCCCTTCTCTGACCCTGCTCCAGCACCTCAATGTCTTTTTATGGTAGGGGGCCCAAAACTGGACACAGTACTCGAGGTGGGGCCTCACCAGTCAATACCTAATTTAAGCCAGTCACCTCCAACAGAAGCGTTAAGGTCCCAGCATCAGCCTCCCTGCAACCCAGAACCCAGCAGAGGAACCAGAGAGCACTCAGCATTGCTTACAGAAGCAAATCACTCCTACAGCTACCCTCATACTTCCTCTGGCAAGAGTTACGGTTTGAGCAATGCTTCCAGTTTCAAAAAAACCCCAACTTTTCCCAAACCCTGGGAAAGCAGAGGTCAGGAGGGATTGTTGGAACACAAAATAAACAGCTCGCTTGTTAACAGTCTCTGGTCTTGCCCCACACAAGGAAGTGGGCAGAATTACACCACTGGGAACTATTTTAGATCTACAGCTGTCAGGCCTAAATTCTGCCACCTTCTGTAAAACAAGCACACTTGTTCTCAACAGTGAGAGATCAGATGGTTTATAGATGATAGGGATTGCTTTCTTCAGATCTATTTAGTCATTTCCTCCGAGTCCTGTTACGGTGAAGAAACCCATAAACACAGCATAAGCCTTTCACATTCAGCAACAATCAAAGGCAAACGCAGGAAAAAACCCCTCCTTTATGCCAAACTGCTTCCTTCACATAGAATCATAGAATTGTCCAGGCTGGAAGGGACCTTTAAGATCATCGAGTCCAACCATCAACCTAACCCTGATAAAACAAACCATGACTAAACCATGTCTCTAAGCACTACATCAACCTGTCTTCTGAACACCTCCAGGGATGGTGCCTCCACCACTCCCCTGGGCAGCCCATTCCAATGCTTAACGACCCTTTCACTGTAAAAATTTTTCCTAATATCCAATCTGAACCTCCACTGGTGCAACTTGAGGCCATTTCCTCTTGTCCTGTCGCCTGTGACTTGGGAGAAGAGACCGACCCCCACCTCTCTACACCCTCCTTTCAGGTAGTTGTAGAGAGCAATAAGGTCTCCCCTCAGCCTCTTCTTCTCCAGGCTGAACAACCCCAGTTCCCTCAGCCTCTCCTCATAAGACTTGTGCTCCAGACCCCTCACCAGCTTCGTTGCCCTTCTCTGGACCTGCTCCAGCACCTTGATGTCTTTTTTATGGTAGGGGGCCCAAAACTGGACACAGCACTCAAGGTGAGACCTCACCAGTTCCGAGTACAGGGGGATGATCACCTCCCAAGTCCTACTCACCACGCTGTTCCTGATACAGGCCAGGATGCTGTTGGCCTCACATGGTTTGTAAGAGGCCTTTTCTTTAACTATCATCCATGAAATGCTCTTCAGAATATTTGTTTGATGTTAATAATGCACAAGACAGCAAAGCACTCCATACAGCAAGCTTCTGCCTGTATTCTCCACCAGACTTTGTCCTTGGAATGTATTTAAACAGGCTAAAAAAAAAGTACACCAACCACTTCAGATAGATTAATTAAGTAGCTTGATTGGTTGTGCCCCTAACAACTTCCTTCAGCATTAAGAGATGAAGTGAACCCTGGTATTTAATTAGCTGAAGAGGCACGTTGGTTTTATTCATAGTCTCTGCGTAGTCACTAGAAAGAGTCTCGAGGTCTGAAGTACGTACCCACATTCACAGTCTGAAACTAACTCATCTGCTCATTCTCACTATGAGCTAGAAGGCAGCGTGGGGTTCACGGTGTTGAGAGCGTTTTCAAAGCATGCAAGAACGTTCAAAGTACTTACTCGAAAGCACACAGTTCAAATTCAGTGTGACTTTTATTGTTCTTAGCAGTACAATCA